CCCATTTCACCTCCAGCCCCCAGGCTCCATGGCCACCTCCCTCCCCCCATCCCTGTCCCTATCCCCCAGCCCCCCTTGTCCTCCTGCCCCACCCCCCAACACCCCTTGTCCTACCTTCCTCCCCCCATCCCTGTCCCTACCCCCCCAGCCCCTCTTCCTCCCCCCACTATGTCCCCCGAGACCCTCCCCCAATTTCACCTCCAGCCCCCAGGCTCCATGGCCACCTCCCTCCCCCCGTCCTTATCCCCCTCCAGCCCCCCTTGTCCTCCCTTCCCCCCCCACCCCACTGTGTCCCCCCCGGGACCCTCCCCGTAATCACCGTCCCCCCCAGTGTGTCCCCCAGGGACCCCCCAGCCGCAGTGTGTCTCCGAGACCCCAGCCCTAGTCCCGCCCCTTTCCGTTCCGTGTCAGGGCGGCCGGACCGACGGGCAGCCCCGAGCCCGGCCCGCTCCTCACCTCCCGGGCGATCTGGTTGAGCGCATCGTCCTCCGCCGTCAGCCGCTCCCGGTTGGGGAGCCGCTTCCGCCCGGCCCCCTGCGTCCCCATTGCCGCGCGCCACGAACCGCTACCGCTCGCCCCGCTCCGGCACGAGCTGCCGCTGCCGCCCCGCGCCCGCCGGCGGCTACGCACAGCACGTCACCGGGGGCGGGGCTCAACGGCCCAGCACGAGAGAGCGGGTGTGGGGAGAGGGCGGGGCGGAGCGAGGAGAGAAGAGGGGAGATGGGAGGGGCTGAGGGGGCCTGGGCGGGGCGGGGCGGGGAAGGGGGCGGGGCTTTGCTGCAATGGGCGGGGTGCTGTAGGGAGGGTTTGCGGAGTGGGGAGGAGCTTGGGGGTGGTGATGAGATGGATGGGGGGGGTCTGTGGGGGGATGGGTGGGATTGGGAGGGGCTGTGGAATGGGGAGGGGCTTGGGGGCAGTGATGAGATGGATGGGGAGGGGTCTATGGGGAGATGGGTGGGATTGGGAGGGGCTGTGGAGTGGGGAGGGGCTTGGGGGGCAGTGATGAGATGGATGGCGAGGGTCTATGGGGAGATGGGTGGGATTGGGAGGGGCTGTGGTAGGGTGACCAGATGTCCCGATTTTATAGGGACAGTCCCGATTTTTGGGTCTTTTTCTTAAAGAGGCTCCTATTACCCCCCACCCCCTTCTCGATTTTTCACGTTTGCTGTCTGGTCACCCTAGGCTGTGGAGTGGGGAGGGGCTTGGGGGGGCAGTGATGAGATGGATGGGGAGGGTCTATGGGGAGATGGGTGGGATTGGGAGGGGCTGTGGAGTGGGGAGGGGCTTGGGGGGGCAGTGATGAGATGAATTGGGAGATCTATGGAGAGATGGGTGGGATTGGGAGGGGCTGTGGAGTGGGGAGGGGCTTGGGGGGGCTGTGATGAGATAGATGGGGTGGGTCTGTGGGGGGGTGGGATTGGGAGGGGTTGCAGAGTGGGGAGGGGGTTGGGGTGATTGGCAGGGTGTAAGGTGACCAGATCAAAAGTGTGAAAAATTGGGACGGGGGTGGGGGGTAATAGGTGCCATGCCTATATAAGAAAAAACCCCAAATATCGGGACTGTCCCTATAAAATGGGGACATCTGGTCACCTTAGCAGGGTGGGATGGGGTAGAGAGAGGCTTTGGAGATTTGGGTGGGGAGGGGTAATGAGGTAGGGAGGCTCTTTGGGGAGATGGGCAGGGAGGGGCTTTGAGGAAGGCTCTTCCTGTTCATTGAATGAAGCAGGGATCTTGTAGAAAAAATAGTATGTGATCACATAATTAAAGACTGTATTATAAGGCAAGGGAGACAAATTAAGGTTGCCAGTGCAACCTTAATGTGGGCATTTTCTAACTCCTGAGCGTTTGACTTTGCAACCTTAATAATTTTGTTTTAACATAATTTGTTGTGTGTAATTTCCTGGGTTTAAAAAGAACTGAACCCCTCCCAAAAATTTCATCATGTGGTATCATATTGACACCTATGAGTCATCACCATGGTTGGAGCTTTTAGATCCACCACACAGAACTCTGCCACTTAACAGAGTAACAGGTACCAATAGTTGGTTGTCATCTTCTGTGTGGACCAGCATCAGAGGGGGATGGGAGACTGTCCGAGGCGGTTTCATAGATATTTGTTGATAGCAGAGGAATGGTGAGATTCAGAAATCTTGGGTTCCGTTCCAGGCTGTGGAAGGGAGTATGTCTACTGGGCACAGATTCTTCTGCGCATTCCATTCAACTGTTTGACCACTTCTGTCCTGTCCCGTCCAACTATTTCTGCATCCCAGTGCCATTATCCTTGCCTACCCAGACCCAGTCTCCACTCCTCAAACTCCTCAGCCCAATCCCCATCTCCTTGTCCAGCAAGTCTCACCTCTTTGGACTCCCCATCTCAGTCTCCTTGCTCAGCCAGTCCCAGTTTCCCTACAACCAGCTTCTCATCCAATCTGTCTCTTCAGTTTCCAGAGCTCCAGTCATACCCCTCCCACCTCTCACCCACATTCCCCATCCCCACTGGCTCCCACAACCACTCTCCCTCACCAGGCTTCTTGGGCAATGTCAGTGGGCCCCTGCCTCAGTTCCTAGTCTGAGTCTCTACCAAACCAGTCTCACCCAGTTCTCTCCCCCACCTCATTCATCCTTCCAGATCTCTGTCTTCCCCACATACCTTGTCCCCACCCTGCTGGTTCCCAGTTCTCCTTTCCCATACAGAGCAGTTCCTCATTCAACCTTAGTCTTCCCCCGCCCCTGCCACTGGCTCCCAGTCCTCTCCTCTCCCACATTTCCCCAGAGCTCTCATCCCAGAGTCACTCGCCCCCCAACTCCCACTCCTAGTTTCTAACCCCTCCACTGCCAGTGTCCAGTCCTGGTCTCCACACCAGGTTCCTTGTTCCAGTCTACTACTCCTGCCCCCAGGCCAAGCTGTAGTCTTTTTTGCATTCAAATGAAGTGGCTTCCTCTTCCATACTGTCTAGGTAATAGCTGGGGAGTCATTGGGTGCAGAGGAGAGACAGTTCTGATGTGTGGTCAGATCTGCAATTGCAGGGAAAGTCCTGCCCAGCCCCAGGCCACTGCCGATGGAATTTTCAGGGAATTTAGTTGCAAAATCTCTACTGAACACGTGCAAGCTGCACTTTTTCAGTCTTACAACTTGGCCTTGTGGACAGCAAAAGGCATATCCCTGACACAAAGGCCACCACCTCTCTACCAAATGTTAAGTCTCTGTTCCAAGCATGGAGGCACTGAAGCTCCTCAAAGTAAAGGTCACCAGGATTTTTTATCATGGGCAAAACAACATATTTTCCTCTAGCCTCATTCTTGGAAATGGCTGCACCATTTTGACTGTAATTTTCCAGAAAACATCTGTTTGAGGTAGACAGCAAAGAAAATTTCAGCCCAATTGAGTAAAGTTATAAGCAACTGAAAATGGTCTCATAATGGGAAGTGTTGGGCAATCTTAGTAATAGACCGTGCTACCAACGCAGCCTATAATTTTGTGTGTTAAATCTGAATAAATTTTGCACAACTTCAACTGGATTTGCGTCTACACATCATTGGTGCCTGGCCGCCTGATCCAGGCTCTGACACTGACTCCCTCTCTGGCTTTGGTCAAGTCACTTAATCCTTCTGCCTTCCCAGCACTCCCCATATTCCAACCAACTTCCAGCTCACCGCTCTTTTCATTCCGCCCTTCCTATTCAGCCTCCAAAACAAATACCGCATGAGTGGTGGTAGAAAAAAGATTGTTCCTTCAGGCTCTGAAGACAACTTTTCTCCACCTAACAATGATAAATTTCCTTGCAGGAGACACTTTTCTATGATTTTTTAAATGAGAATATATTTTATTTATTTAATTTACTTATACAAGAATATACCCTGCCTTGAAATGTCCGATCTAACAGCCAGCCAGCAAGGAACATTCTTATTGTTGTTGTTGCTAATCCAGCAATATTCCATCTATTAGGATCTTCTATTAGGATAAAATACAGATGAAAAAGAGAGAAAGTTTGAGTTGAACACTATAGAGAGAATGTTAAGATTGCCAGGCCCTATCCTATAGGACACAGTCTGTCTGAAACACCTATTGATTTCAGTGGGAGTTGCAGGTGCTCATCACCTCTCTGAGAGTCAGATCACCCCTTCCGGCTCAGGAAACACATAGGAGTGGCAAGAGAGGCAGGAAAATGCCAGGGGGTTAATCTCGTGAAGATTCCTGGAAATCATCCCCTCAAGGAAAAGGGGTTGGAGAAGCCTCCCAACCCCATAGAATCCATGGGGAAAGGGACACCCACACTAGTGTATGCTGGAGTGGTCTGCAGGGACTGCTCTTCCTCCACGTTTGTTGCTCCACTGCCCCTCCATCCCTCCTGGCAGCAGGTGCTGCCATTGGGCTCCTAAAGGGTTAATATAGCTCAAACCTGTGTTAACTCCCTCCTAGATAGAAATTCAGTTGGTTTTCAAGGCACAGTGCTGTAGGCAGCATCCCTGCACTGCCTCTGTTCCTGTCTTCTCAGTCCCTTTCTCCTCTCTCCCTCTACCTTACCCCACTTCCCAAACCCCGTGGAATCCTTTCTTCCTGGATACCAAGTGAATTTTCATATGACGTGAAACCATCCATTATCAATTGTAATAGATTCCCTGGACTACACTTGAAGTGTTGGATACAAAATTCATTTTTGCCAGTTGTCTTCTCATAAAGGTGAAGGATTAATTAGCATTCACAAGGAGCAAGTGTTCTCCGGAATTCCCAATAAAGCTCTACCAGGATACCTTAAGTCTGACCTTCTCTTTGAGTTCTGAGCCTCCCATGAGCATGGACCACAAATGTGTTAAATTGTGCAGCAGTATTGTAATGTGTACATATATCCCCACGGGATTCAGATACACGCGGCAAATTTAATTTCTTTTATGACCCACTTTATGCTATAATTTGAAACTAGTTTTCCGGAGTACAAGGCTGGTATGACCTCCCTCCTTCTAATGAATATGTTTCAAACACAGCTATATCAATTAACTTCAGTCATCAGTTGCTATGACTTTAGTATTCCAATCCTGCAGATCTCTCCTGCCAATTGTGCCAGATTATTTAGTGGTTTTCTGATACAAATGAACATTGCTTTTTAACAAGATTGGGATAAACATTTTATTTGTGAACTAAAATAGCAGTTTTTCTTTTTCAAGGTCTAAACTCTCCGATAGAAACAAATACAACCCTAAGAAAGGGGAAGCAGAATGTTTAAAACACAAGGGCAGTTGAAAATTATAGCTCAGGCATGTGCTAAAATCAGAAAGTGCCACGCCACACTACCCACAGTGTTATTCAGATTGTCTGTGTTGAGCCAGACCCTGCATTCCTTGTACAGGTATAACTTCCAGAGGTTGATCTGGGAGCTTTGAATGTACAATGATTATGGGATCTGGATCATTTGTGCGTTCCTCTGCTGTCCAGAGATGTGCCAGTTTAATTAATATTTCAGCATCTCCCAAAAGACAGTCTCCTGGCTATATGTGGAAAGGGCACATTGATTTCTATTCACTGAAGGAGAGCTGGATAATGGAACCCACTGACACAAACTGCCATGGAAAGAGAAGAGAGACAGGCCTCTTAAGCAATTTCAAGCAGTTACC